GGGCATCGCAAGAGCACAGAAAGCATCAAGCACAAAAATAAATCCCATTCACTTTCAACTTCCATCAGGAGACAATTGCCAACTTCACCACCTACTGTGCTATTGTAAATTGCTGGTATTTTTACTGTATGATGGAGACAGACGGAGAGGCCCGGTGCCCAGCGGGTGCCCTTCAGGCACAATGGCACCCAATCCTCAGACACCTATAATGCCAGGATGATGATTAACCCCATAAAGAAAATGAGGCTCAGAGAGGGGACTGTAGGAGGCCAAATAATTGTCCCCCAAATATATCCAGCCCCAATTCCTGGAACCAGTCAATGTTACCTTATACAGAAAAAGGGTGTTTGCAGCCTGTGATGAATTAAGGATCTTGAGATGGAGAGCCTGTCCTGGATTATCTGGGTGGGACTTAAATGTAATCACGTGTATCCTTAGAAAAGGGAGGCATGGGGAGGTTTTATGACACACACACAGAAGGAGGGGAAATGTGACACAGAAGAGAAATCGGAGGTGGCCACAAGCCGAGGAATGCCTGCAGCCACCAAAAACTGGGGCAGAGAGGGGGGCAAGGAATGGTTTCTCCCCTGGAGCCTCTGAAGAGCGTGCCGTCCTTCCTACACCTTGATTTTGCCCCAGGAACCCTGATTTCTAACACCGGCCTTCAGAACTCTGGGAAAATAGATTTCTCTGGTGTGAAGCCACCAAGTTTGAGGTCGTTTGTCTCAGCAGCCTCAGGAAACTCATACCGGGACTTTACGGGCACTGAGCCACCGAGCTGGGAAATGGAGGTGGCCCCTCTGTCCCCATCCTTGAGGAGGTCAGTAAAGAAGCCCCGAGTCTCGGGCGCCTGGGTGGCTCAGTCGTTAAGCATCTGCCTTCGGCTCAGGTCGCGATCCCAGAGTGCTGGGATCGAGCCCCGCATTGGGCTCCCTGCTCCGCGGGAAGCCTGCTTCTCCCTCTCCTACTCCCCTGCTTGTGTTCCCTCTCGCTGTGTCTCTGTCAAATAAATAAATAAAATCTTTAAAAAAAAAAAAAAAAGAAGCCCCGAGTCTCCCTCGAACTCCTCCACCCTCCCTGCCCGTCGCCAGCCCGCCCTCACCGGCAAGTATTGGCCGTTATGGACGCAGCCACAGTTCTGTACGGGGACGCAGGTGCCGTGCGAGAGCAGGAAGCGGTCATCACACTCGCAGCCCTCGAAGCAGTGGCTGGTGCAGCCCGTGAGGCCCGAGAGGGCGGCGCAGGAGCCCTGGCAGGAGCGCGTGCAGGTGGAGTAGTGGCTGTGGGCGGGGCACTGGAGGGCTGCAGAGGGAGGAGGCGGGGCGGGTCAGGCCTGCGGCCCCAACACTGACCCCGGCCTCCCGGCACACCAGGATCTCGGTTGACAGTGCTGGGGACGCCAGCTAGGAAGACAGCCTCGGGCCCTGCCCTGTGGAGCTCATGTCAGTGGGATCGATAGTGACGGCCCAGCGTGGTCAGGGCCGCATTGGGGAAGCAGAGGCAGAGGGGTCCAGGGCCAGGATGGGGGCAAAAACAGGAAGTTGTAAGGACCCAGGGGAAGCCTCCAGGGTGACGCCCTGGGCTCTGGCTGAGCAATTGGTGGGTGGCACGGCTGCCCCAAGATGAGGACTGGGATCAGGGAATGGGAGGATCAGGTTTGGGGTAAAATGCTGATGTCATATGGGAACACAGCAGGTGTGAGGGACCCCAAGGACACCCAAGGGCAAGTGTTCAGGAAGCTGCTGGACCCTCGAGACTGGCAGTCAAGAGAGAGGTTGGGACTGAAGACAGATAGTGTCCACTATCAGCCCTGAGGACAAATCAAGAGCCATAAGGGGTGGATAATGGCTCTGGACATAGGTGCTGTCCTGAGGAGAAAGAACAAGACACGGCCCTACCCTGGGAGTTTGAAGGAAACATACCCCTAACTGGGGGTATCTGAGAGGTACAGTCCCGGCCTGGGGATCTGAGGGGATATGGTCCCATCCCGGGGGGTCCAGATAAGCCAGATTCAGGCTTTCTCATGTGAGCTGTGGACCTGCCTGACTAGCCCTCCCAGGTCCCCACAGAAAGGGCTCAGGATGAGCCCTGAGGAAGAACTGTGTCTGTGATTTCAGGACGGTGGGCCCCTGAAAGGAGTCTGAGAAGGACCAATTCGGGGGGAAGGAGGGAGGTCAGCAGGGTGTGCTGCGGGAGAAGCTGGGTGACGGAGGGAGCCTTCCAGAGGGAGGGGCTGCTCCTGAGATGCAGACGGGACAGGAGCAGGTCAGGGGGGTGTCCCTGAGCCAGGTCTGGAGTCTTTCGAGGGCCCTCCCGGACACTCACGGCAGAAACTGTCTGTCCTCCAGGACTTCACGGTCCCACCGACCGCCTGGCAGTCCGCTGTGTAGGCTGTCAGGCTGCGGCAAAGGAAGGTGGTGTTGCCTTTGTGGAAACACAGGTCGTACACGCATTGGCGGAAGTACTCATAGGGGTTCAGCACCGCGTGGCAGGCTGCAAAAGGGCCCTGGGGGTCCCGGATCTGACCGCAGGCCTGGTTGCTCTCATACGGTGCCGTCTCCTCGGCCAAGCACACAGGGCAGCCACTGGCCCCACAGCCCTCGCCACAGCCCTGGGAGGAGCTGGGGGCCCGCCATGCGGCCCCAAAGGCATCCACGCTGGGGGCCTCAGCGCCGCTGGGCAGGACAAAGTCGTCGGTCCAGTTGCTGTTGAAGTTCCCACAGAGGCCACAGACCCGGCCACGGAAGGGGCTGGGGATGGATATGAGGACATGGGCATCGCCATCAAAGAGAAGCCGCAGTGCCTTGGTGGTCTGCAGAATCACGTTCTGGCCCTCGGCAGTCACCCGCACGCGACCCACAGCCACAGGCAGGGCCACAGCCTTGTCGTCCACGGTGACCTGGGTGGAAAGGCCAGGGGGGTCAGGGACTCACAGAACCACGGGTGAGGCAGTCCCCTCAGATTCCTGGGGTGGAGCTATGTCCCTCACAGGCCCTTTGGGGTCGGACCATGTCCCTCGGACTGCCCGAGAGTGGGACTGTGTCCCCTTCAGACCCTCAGATCTCTGTCCCCCTCACTCGCCTTGGGGCGGGGTCACAGCTCCCTCAGAACCCTCAGGGTGGGCCCTATCCCGCTCAGCCCCCTAGGGTAAGGCCACGTCCACTCACCTTCGGACCCCGAGCCAGTCTCACAACCTGGCTGGCCACAGTCACCACCAGCTGTTGGAGATCGCCGGTGGCATCCTTCTCAAGCACGATACTAAAGTCCTCGTCCTCAGGCTGTGGGTGGCAGACTTTGGCCAGGACGTAGGAGCAGGAACCGTGCAGGTCATAGACACGCCCATCGAGGGTAATGTAGTGGAGGCCCCCACTGGCCACGCAGCGGCCACAGCCTGTAGGGTGGCAGGCCTGGACTCCGTCCTCTACTCGGCACTCCTCGTAGGGCCTGCAGGCCGGGCCCTCCTGGCAAGTGACCTGGCCGCCTGGCCCACACTCACAGAGCCGCTCACACTCAGGGCCTGGGTAGAAGGACTCGCCTAGCGGGTAGTAGCGGCCCTCGTGGAGGCATCCGCACTGGCCCACGGGCACACAGGTGTCGCCGCTGAGCACGAAGCCGGCATCACAGACGCAGCCCTCCTGGCAGCTCTGCACGCAGCCCTCGGGCGCGGAGAGGCTCGGGCAGCTTACAGGGCAGGAGTCCCCGCAGAGCTTGTAGTGGCTGTTGGCAGGGCACCGGAGAGCTGTGGGGACCGAGAGGGAATGAGCCAGGCGGCTGCGAGGGAGCGGCACAGCGGAGGTGCAGAGCGGGAGAACCTGCCCAGGTGAGTGTGAATGGGGCGTGGGGCCAAATGTATCTGTGTCTCCGGGAGGAAGCCACCTGAGTCTACCCGGCTGGTGGATGTCTGACCTGGAGCCTCTGACGCAGTCTCTCTGACAAGGTTGGTGTCAGCGTGACTCTGACCATGTGTATCTGATTGGATGAAGCTGACAGGATAACTTTGACCAAGGCGATGTGTCTGAGGGGAACTGCCCTGGATGATGCCACCATGAGCCTGTATATATCTACCTGGGGCTACATCAGGGTCATGATTCTACCTGGGGGTCTCTGCCCAAGTGCCTCTAACCAGGAGAGTCCCTGTCTGAGGTTATCAGACTAATTCTACCTGACCTTGTGTATTTCAGTGTTTGAAACAGTGTAGGTGCATGGGACCAACTCTCTAGGTCTCTCTCACCAGGTACCTGAGAGAATCTACCTGACCAGGTGTATCTTGCTGTGTAGCTTTCGCAGGCTCAACCACCCCAGTCTATCTAACTGGGATATCAACACATGAATCCCTGAGAGGATAGTGGACCTGGGGTTTCTGACCAGGTGTATCTGAGTCTCGCCCATTGCAGTAGGTGACCTGGTGCATTTCAGTGTGTGAATGCCAAGGTGGTTTTCTGGACAGGAGCTATCTGGCTCAAGGGAGGCAAGGTGGTGCCTAACCCCATGGTGGAGGAGAAGCTCTTGTCTTAGAGCCGCGAAAAGGGGGAGGCGGGGAGACCCCCATTATGTGGACCGGGCACGCATCAGTACTCACGACAGAAGTCCGGCCGCCTCCACTCGCCGAGCTGGGCTCCCGCGGCCTGGCAGACTGTCACGTAGGCCGCCACGGCAGGGCAGAGGCCTCCCGGATGGCCCTGGGCCTGACAGGCATCCAGCAAGCAGGCCCGGAAGTACTGCTCCGGTGGCACGAGGCTGTGGCAGGGCGCCAGCGGGCCGTCGGCGGCGGAGATCACGCCACAGGCGTCCCGGCCGGCGAAGGCCCCCTGCTGCTCGGTTGTGCACTGCGGCGGGCACGGCCCGGGCACGCACTCCCCGCAGCCCGGCTCGCCGCCCACCTGCCAGCCGGCGGGGTTCCCGCCCACAGCCTTCAGGTCGTCGGCAGGGTCCTGGTTGTAGTTCCCGCACAGGCCACAGAGGGCGCCCGCGTACGGCGCCGGCACGCGCAGGCGCACGAAGCTGTTCCCGTCGAAAGCCAGAGAGAGCCCGGCGGCCGCGGTCACCACCACGTCGGCGCCGCTCACGTACGCGCGCAGGCGCGAGTCCAGCTGGTAAGGCAGCGCTACGAGCTTACCGTCCACCTGCGGGCACGGGGTAGGGGTGGGGGCGATGAACGGTGCGGGTACAGGTTCGAATTTTGACTCCACTACCCACGGGGGGGGGGAGGGGAGGGGAGGGTGGATCCCTGAGCCTGTGATCTACCCTTTGTAATAATAATGATAGCGGTAGTAGTAGTAATAACGAGCATCTATAGACACGATGCCGCTGCTTCCTCACACTACCCTCTGAAGCAGGTACTTTCCTTAGACCCATTTTATAGTGGAATAAACTAAGGCCAAACTAAAGGAATTATCTAAGAAACGGGGAAGCCACTGCTCCCAGCCCTCCTGCTCCAAGGCCTATACTCCGAACCCCTGCATCATGCCCCGCTAACCTGTGAAAGGTAATCAGGGGACTGGCAAACTCCTAACTGTCCCAGACAACCCCAGGGCTGGCATGTGCTCCCGTCTGGCTCCAGGCCCCTCACCTGCAGCTGCCGGGGCCATTGGGCACTGAGGGTCAGGCTGTGTTTATAGATGTGCAGGGTGACACTGCGAGTGTAGCTGACCGCCTGGCTGCCCCGGTGCTCGTTGACTACAGTGACGGTGAAGTTCTCAGCCCCCGTGGGCAGCGCATTGCAGGGCGTGCTCAGAAGGTACTCGCAGTTGCCTTGGAAGTCGAATTGGTGCCCATCCAGGGTGATGTAATGGGGGTCAGTCCAGGCCTGACACTCCGCTGTGCTGACAGGCTCGCAGCCATGCTGGCCCGAGGGCAGCAGGGCACATTGTTCACCTAGCCCGCACTTGGCAGGCTTGCAGACCAGCGAGCCACCCCCAGGCCCGCAGCGGCACCTCTGGGAGCAGGTGGCGTCAGCCCAGAACTCGCTGCCAGCTTCGTGGTATGTGCCGTTGGCCCAGCAGCCACAGCCACCATCCAGGGGAACGCAGTGGTCGGCGCTCCACACGAAGCCCGAGTCACACTGGCAGCCCTCGGCACAGGGGCCGTCACATGGCTTTGGGGTCGTGGGGGGTGCAGGGGACGGGCAGCTGTCCGGGCAGGCTGGGCCACAGAGCTCGTAGTGGCTGTTCTTGGGGCAGGAGATCTCTGTGGGTGGACCGAGGAGTGGGAGGGAGACAAAGAGAGGGAATGGTGTCGGGGGGTGGGGTCAGAGGATTGGGAGGAGACAGAGACAGAGGGACAGACAAAGGAACTGAGGGAAACAGCAAGAGACACTGATAGACAGCGAGGGAGACATAGAGGAAGACCCAAACAGAGACAAGCAGAGAGAGAATGAGAAATGGAGAGGCAGAGAGACAAAGGGAGACACAGAGATAAGCGCCAAGAGACCGAGAGACAAAAACAGAGACCGAGAGTGCAAGAAAAAACAGAACGACCCAGAAAGACCCAAGTAAGACCCATCCAATCTGGCAGAGACAGGACCCCTCCCCTTACCCCGAGCTCCTGCTCTGCTCCCCAACACTCACCACAACCAGCCTGCTCCCTCCAGTCCTTAATGGCAATCCCTGCGGCCTGGCAGGCAGCAGCATAGGCGGCCAGAGCCTGGCAAAGGATGTCGTGGGCCCCGCCGCCTAGGCAGACATCCAGAACACAGCCCTTGAAGAAGCTGTTGGGGGCCACGTGGGCATGGCAGGCAGCAAAGGGGCCTCCCGCGCCAGGGGCCAGGGGTCCACAGAAGCCAGGGCCCTTGTACTCCTCCTCCTGGTCCTCAGGGCATGTTGGACAGTTCCCCTGACATTCATCCCAGCACAGCAGGTCCCAGCCCGGAGCACGCCAGCTGCCGCCCCAGACGGGTATCGAGGGAGCCAGCGTGCCGTTGGGGAAGGCTCGGTCGTTGCTGCTGTCACGGTCCATGTTCCCGCAGAGTCCAAACACTTCGCCATGATAGCTACTAGGCAGCGTCACCTCCACTCGCCAATCCCAGTCATAGCTAACCTGAAGCCCAAAGTCTGTTACCAGCAGCGCTTTTGATGCGCCCTGGGTCACCAAAATCCGGCCCCCGGCCACAGAGACGGGCAGCGCTGTCAGCACACCGTTCACCTGGCGGGGGGAGAGGAAGGAGGCAAACAGAGCTCACTCGAGGTGTGGAGGCTCCAGCTCTGGCCCCCTGCCTCCCTCCCTCATTCTGCCATGGCTGGCAGCTGCCAAGGCTTCCCTTACGACTGACTGACGGTTGTAGGTCACTTGACAAGCATTGCGGACATTGCTGAAGTCCAGGCCCTGGAGAATGAAGCCTCACTCTACTGCTTTTTCTGGGTCTCTCGCTCTCCATCTCCCTCCCTTCCTCTACTCTCTCTGTCTCTCTGTTATCTCTCCCTCTGTCTACATCCAGACTTATTTCTCTGTATCTAGACTTATCTCTCTCTCTCTCTCTCTCTGTGTCTCTCTCACTCAGTGATTCCCTCCCTCCCTCCTCCTCTCCTGTGCATCTCTGTGTGTCTGGACATCTCTTCAAGTCACTCAACATTTATCTAGTACCTACCCTGTTTCATACTTCTCTCTCCCACTGTGGACTACCATTCATCTGCAACCATGGGCAGGAAGGGTGGCCCATCTCCCCCCAGCCCTCACCCCTCTCCCCATCTCCCTGAATTTCACTCCAGTTGGAGGCTTTGGGCCTCTAATTTATTCCCTCACAAACATTCATGGGCTCTCAGCCAGATCCCCGTTTCACAGATAAGGAAATCGAGGCCCACCAGAAAAGTCACTCGCCCAACATCATGCAGCTCACAAGGAGTCTGGATTCAAACCCAGGTCTCTAAAAAGGCAAGTGCTGAAGTCCTACATCAAGCCCTTAGCAAAGGGCCAGGCTCGCTTAATTCCCAACAGAGAGGTGACGATTGCTGTAACTATTGTTTTGCTGTCGTTTTGTTTCAGGCCTGGGCCAAGACAGAGCCTTCAGCTCCTAACCGAGGCTGGCAGGACCCCTTGCCCCCACTAGGGGGCTCCAAGGGTCATGCTGCCCGACTTACCCGGACTTTGCCGATCTCGCCTTTGTGGATGGAGATATTGAAGCCGAGGGCAGACACGGTGACGAGCCTCACATATGACACAGCAGGGTTGCCCCGGTTCTCATTCTTGGTGGTGACGGTGAAGGGGGTCAGGCCCTGGGAGCTGCCCCCCTGGGAGCCAGCTGCTGCCAGCACATAGTTGCACGTGCCTTGGAAGTCAAAGTCCCAGCCATCAAAGGAGTGGTAGTGTGGGTCGCCCCATAGCCAGCATGTGGCCTCATAGTTGGGCACGCACACAGCCTGGCCAGCTTTCTCCTGGCAGGTCTCCTGTGGTCGACACGTCACACCGTGGCATGGGTCTGGAGACAGGGAGAGAGGACATTCTAGGGCTGTCCGGCCAAAGGACAGCTGCTTCCCAACATCTGCCCCAGTCTCTGCCCCAGGCTACTGTACTGGTGGCTGAGGATGGATATCAGGGGCCTCCCAACTGAGACCCACGCCTGGCAGTTTGCTGCCTGAGACCTTGCAGCCAAGACCCAGACTGTAGGGTCCTTACATTGGAACCCAGCCCCAAGGGGTCCCGTTATCTGTGATGCCAGCCCTGAGGGCATCCATGAGAGGGCATCCACAGCCCCAGGGTTTTCTGTGTTCCAGACCTGGGCCCTTATTTCCCCATGCACCTAAGCTGCCAGCCTTCTGGGGGCCACCCCCTCTGAGACTCCGTCCTGGAGGTTTCTGTGCTAAACCAAGGTACTAGAGGAACTTTCTGGTGAGAACTTAACCCCAGAGGCCCCAACATTTGAGATCCTGACCTGGGGGGGGGTCCCTCTGTGAAAGACTCTGCCTCCCTTGGGTGGCTGCCTCTGAGACCCTGGCCTTGGGGAATCTCATTTCTAAAGCCCCATCTCTGAGGGTCTCTTTGTCTAAAACTCTGTCCCTAGGGCCACTGTATCTGTGACCTATTTTTGAACCCCTGTGCCTAAGACTCCAGCCTTAAAACTTCCTCTGCACCCCCCCCCGCCGTGCCCATTTTCAGTGTATTGCCTCTCAGCTCCAGATCCACCAATAGAGGGCTTTGTCAGGAGAAAGCGCTGGAGGGTCGAGGCAAGGGGAGCAGCTTCCCGCTGTGATTCACGGTGCTCTGCTCTCCTTGCCTGCAGGGGACGCACTCAGCCAGTCCATGGCCCCAGCTGGCCTCCTGGAGAGTCACTTAGGCTCTGGCCCACAGCTTCCCACTGAGTTTTGGGAGTTTTGCGAGCACCCCACCAGGATCTTCCTGCCTGCTTGCTCCAGCCTGCACAACCTCTAAGCCAGTAGGCTCCGGCTGCATCTTCCAATGACATCTGCCTCTCGGCCTCCCTCCCTTCCCTGGGTGCCCTGCTTTAGCTTTAGGGGCGGGGGCTGCTCCTGACATCTGCTTTTCTTTTGTTCATTCATGTTCTTCTTACCCCCCTAGTACTTGATTACAAGTATATTCTGTAGATTAAACTCCGCATTGAAGCTACTCTGTGGTTTTTGTCTCCTGATCCAACTCTGACCGCTACGCCCCCCACCCCTGGGAGTCCCTGTGAGCCTGCCCAGCAGCACTGAGGGCCTCAGTCAGTTCTGGAGGTCCCATTCCCTTGTCTTTGGGAATAAGGAATTATGCTCTGCCCTTCACCCTAAGAAACCAGTCCTGGGGGGCGGCTCTGTCACTTAGACTTAATCAGGGAGGGTGGGTCCCATGTCTGAGACTGTTACCCTATAAATCCTGATCCTCCTCTTGAGGAGGGCCCTGTATTGAAGACCCCAGCCTTGGTGGGATCTCTGCCCAAGACGCCTACCTTGAAGGGGTGTTTAGAAGCCCTGAGCCCAATCCTGCATACCGGTGGTCCACGAACACTGGCACAGCCAGCTGCCTGTTTTTTATAAATATGAGTTTCGTTGGAGCCTCAGCTCCTCGCTTACATAGCCTACGGCTGATTTCATGCCATGATGGCAGAGTTGGGTAGTTATGACTGAGACTCTAAGGCCTTGCAAGTTTAAGTATTTACCATCTGGCCCTGTAGGAGAAAAATTTGCCTGTCCTTACTTTATGCTGAGGGTCTCTGACACTTGCCCCAGGAAACCTAGCCCTGGGGGTCCCCACAGCCTGGATGCTACCATAAGAGTCCCTGCCTCCCAGCCTGGAGGCCCTCTGCCCCTGGCCCTGGAAATCCCAGCCCAGGGGGCCCCAGGTGGAGACCTCAATCCTTCGTCCTCTGTGCCTCCCACTGTGAAAATCAGGGTTTCCACCACCCTCTGCTCCGGAGTCCTCGTCCTCTGTTCCCAGGGCCCTGCGCCCGGCCCCAGCCCAGCACCTTTGGTGATGCAGCTCAGGACGCCTCCCGAGGGCTTGCACACCTGTCCTGGCTTGCAGCTGTGGGCCTGGCACACCACACCTTGCCCGGCATGGCACACACACTGCTGCTGGCAGTTGTCGACGAGCATCGTCTGGTTTGGCTGTGGGGACAGAGGGCGACGGCCATCAGGGCAGGAGTTGACACCAGCATCTCAGGTGTTCCGGGGCCAGAGGGTCCAGAGAACACAAAAAGGGCATCTTTCAGCAGGGCGGCCCCTTGTCTGTGAACCTAAGGCACCACATGGCCTTGGGATCCAATTCATTCATTCATTCATTCATTCATTCATTCATTCATCCATTCATTTTTCCAAAATGCCCACTCAATGTCCGCTCTATATGAGAAGCGTTGTGACATACCAATTAAGAGCAAAAGCTCTGTAATGAGCACTGGGTATTATATAAGACTGATGAATCCCTGACCTCTACCTCTGAAACCAATAATACATTATGTGTTAATTAATTAAATTTAAATTAAAAAAAAAGAGCAAAGGCTCTGGAGCAAACTGGGTCTGAAGCCTGTTTCTGCTATTTCCAAACTGTATCACTCTGTGCAAATTACTTAACCTCGGCGCCTGGGTGGCTCAGTTGGTTAAGCGTCTGCCTTTGGCTCGTGTCATGATCCCAGGGTCCTGGGATTGAGTCCTTCCTCGAGCTCCCTGCTCAGCAGGGAGTCTGCTTCTCCCTCTCCCGCTCTCCTTGCTTGTGCGCTCGGGCTCTCTCTCTCTCTCTCAAATAAATAAAATCTTTAAAAAAATTACTTAACCTCTTGATGACTCAATTTCCTCATCTATAAGCTGCTGATAATAATAACACCTACCTATGGTAGTATAACTTACTTAGTAATACATATGAAGTATAGGGGAAAGGAAAAGGGAGTTTTTAAAAAAATAATCCAGGGGCGCCTGGGTGGCTCAGTTGGTTAAGCGACTGCCTTCAGCTCAGGTCATGATCCTGGAGTCCCAGGATCGAGTCCCACATCGGGCTCCCTGCTCAGCAGGGAGTCTGCTTCTCCCTCTGACCCTCCTCCCTCTCCTGCTCTCTGTCTCTCATTCTCTCTCTCCCAAATAAAAAAATAAAAAAATAAAAAATAAAAAAAATAATAATAATCCAGGTTGGAGAGGAAACAAGAAGGGAGAAAATGTGGTTATCACCAAGGATGCGTGATGGGTCCATGGAGATTTATTACACTGTTCTCTTGACTTTTGCATATTTGAAAATTGTCATAATAAAAAGTTCGTCTCTATGTGTAACGCACCTAAACTGTGCCCGGGGCATTGAAAGCTGTAACTGGTATGAGGTAAGCACCATCTACCTATTTGCTTTTGTTATCGCTTTTGGTTTTTTTTAAAGATTTTATTTATTTGACACAGAGACAGAGATAGTGAGAGACAGAGCATGAGCAGGGGGAGCGGCAGGCAGAGGGAGAGGGAGAAGCAGACCGCCCGCTGTTCAAGGAGCCTGATGCGGGGCTCAATCCCAGGGCCCTGAGACCATGACCTGAGCTGAAGGCAGACGCCTAACCGACAGCCACCCAGGTGCCCCTTGTTACCACTTTCATTTGTATGAGGAGAAGAGTAGAGAGGGCGCCTGCCTTCACAGAGCTCCTGGTCCTTTGAGGGAGCTAGGCTTTAGACAAACACACAGGCAAATCGAAGAAAGAGGAGTAAGTGGATGAGGGTGGGAGAGGCAAGCAGAGGGAGTTACCTGCTGTGTCAGAGAGACAGTCTAGACTCGGGGAGCCAGGGGAAGGTTTATAGTTGCAGGGTCCACGGCCATATGGAGAAGGGTCTTCCCGCTGCCATGGGGGAAGGTGGCTCAAGGGAGCAAGAGTGAGGGCAGGGAGGCAGCAGGTGGGAGATGACAAACGGGACCACAGTGGGGCCATGGGGAGGGGAAGGGCTGGGTGGGAGAGATGTTCAGGAGGCCAAGGAGCCGGCTGTGGGGAGATGGGCAGGCCCTGGTCTCTGCCTGCCGTGACCGGGTTCCTACCTCATAGTAGACACCGTTATGGTAGCAGCCACATTGCTGGATGGGCACGCAGGCCTGGCCGTCACTGAGGAAGCCGGGGTCACACTGGCAGCCCTCGGCGCAGCTCTCCGGGCAGTGAGGGGGGGCGCTGAGTGCCGAGCAGCCCAGGGAGCAGGTGTCTGCGCAGAGCTCATAGTGGCTGTTGGGGGGGCATGCCATCGCTGCAAAGAGGGAGTGTTGGTCAGAGCCTCCTCCCAAGGGCTCTGCGGAAGGGGCTGCAGTGTCTGCCCCTTCTGAGCCTCAGTCTCCCCTCCCTCTTCCCCTCAGTACCCCCCGCCCTTCTCTGCCCCTTACTCACGACAGAATGACTCAGTCCTCCAGGGACCAATGTTGCCTCCAGCCGCCTGGCAAGCACTCACATAGGCTTGGATGCTGCTGCAGAGGATGCTCTCGTTCCCGCCACCCAGGCAAAGATCAAAGATACAATTTTCTAAGGGACCCTGGGGCTCAACCAGCTTGTGGCAGGCGGCCAGAGGCCCAGAGGGGCTGGTGAGGAGCCCACAGAACTTCTCCTGCTTGTACTTCTCCTCCAGCTCAGGGGGGCACTCGAGGTCCGGGCTGCAATCCTCCCCGGGCTTGCAGGTGGGCGGTGGCAGGCATGGGGAGCCGGGCACCGCCTCCTCCCAGGAGTTACCGAACTCGTTTGAGCTGCCTGCCTGTGAACCGTCCGGCTTCTGGAAGTCATCCTTGGCGTCGCCATTGTAGTTCCCACAAAGGCCACGCAGCTGCTGGTAGTAGTTGCCTGGGACGGTGACCCGCACGTTGTACGTGAGGTCGTAGGCCACACGCAGGCCGAAGTCAGTGTCGATCACGACGTTCGAGCCGTGCTGGGAGGCGCGGACCTGGCCCTGGGCCAGCACCACGGGCAGCTTCATGTCCACACCATTCACCTGGGAGGTAGGAGATGCCACCCATCAGACGGCGCACTTTGGGAGGGCAGACCCTCGTTCGAACCCTTGCCTGACGTTGGAGATCCATGTGACCTCCCAGTCTCTGGGCCTTAGTTCCTGTATTTGTAAAATGGGCATAATCATCGGGTCTTGCAAGTGGGTCGAATGGTGGTCCCCAAAGGATATGTCTGCCCAAAACCCCTGAATGTGACCTTATTTGGAATAAGAGTCTTTGCAGACCTACTTAGGGTCATGATCTCAAGATCATCCTGGATCCGGGTGGGCCCTATGCCCAGTGATGAGTTTCCTCGTATAATGACGAGAGCCAGAAAAGGAGACAGAGAGAAGAAAAGAGGCCATGTGAAGACAAAGACAGGGGGGACGCCTGGGTGGCACAGTCGGTTGAGCGACTGACTCTTGTTTCAGCTCTGGTCGTGAGATCGAGCCCTGCGTCAGGCTCTGCGCTCAGCGTGGAGTCTGCTTGAGATTCTCTCTCCCTCTTCCTCTGTCCCTCCTGCTCGTGCACTCTCTCTCTCTCTCTCAAATAAATAAAATCTTAAAAAAAAAAAGACAAAGACTGTGATGGGAGTGTCGTGGCCGTGAGCCAAGGAACACCTGGAAAACACGAGAATTCTCTGGAAGAGGCGAGGAAGGAGCCTCCCCTGGAGCCTTCGGAAGGAGGGTGGATCTTGCCAACACCTTGAGTTTGGACTTCTGGCCTCCACAACGGTGAGAAAACAAATTTCTGTTGTTTTAAGCCACCATGCGTGTGGTAACTTGTGCCGGCAGCCACAGAAAGCTGATACAGGCCTCGATGGAGTAACAAGCTTCCCAGCTACCCTTCCTTCACCCCTTACAGATTGATAATGCAGGGATGGACTCCGGATCCACCTGCCTGGGTTCCAACACAGCTCTGCCCCTTCCCCTTCCTGCAACTCTGCCCGTGAGGCGCCTCTCTGTGTCTGTTTCCTCACCTACCAAGTGGGGTCCACACGGTTACTGTCAGGATTATTTAAATTGACATCTGGGAAGCGCTGAGAAATGTGTCTGGCATGGAATGGGTGTTCTGGGAGCATTTGCTAGCATTCTGAGCTCTGATTGGGAGTTTTTCTTTTGACAAGTAAGTGGGTGCTAAGGTTTTTCACTTTAAGCGTCAGTGGGTGGAGCGTTAGGCTAATGGGAAATGAACTTCAAACCCCTGA